CTTCGCGCGCGAGGGGGGCGGCGTCAGGGGGCGAGCCGACGGGGGGGGGGCGGAGGCGGCGAGGTTGACGGGTGAGAGACGGGGGGGGGGAGGAGGGGGAGGAGGAGGAGGAGGCGGAGAGGAGGAGGAGGAGGAGGAAGAGAGGAGAGGAGGAGGAGGAGGGAGGAGGAGAAGGAGGAGCAAGGAGGAGGAGGAAGCGGAAGAGGAGGAAGAGGAGGAGGTAGGAGGAAGGAGAAGGATGGGGGGAGAAGGAGAGGAGGAGGAGGAGGAGGAGGAGGAGGAGGAGAAGCGAGCGAGGAAGAGGAGCAAGGAGGGGGAGGAGACGAATCATAAGATAAATAAGAAGAATACGAATAAGAAGAATAAGAAGAGGAATAAGCAGAAGAAGAAGAATAAAGAAAATAAGAAACATAAGAAGAACAATCCTATAAATAAGAAGAAATACGAGGAGCGTAGAGAGCAGGAGGAGAAGAAAGAGGAGAAGGAGGATTAGGAGGAGGAGGAGGGAAGAGGAGGAGGACGAGGAGGGGGGAGGAAAGGAGGAGGAGGAGGAGGAACGTTTGGCATGTTTCGCCAAACACAGCTTGCGGCAGCGGGGGAAGAAAAGAGACAGAGAGAGAGAGAGAGAGAAAAACAAACAAAAAAAAAACAAAAAAACGACGGCGGCCCACGACCGACCCCCCCCCGACGCCCAAGTGCCTGCCGCAGCGCTAAGAAAGCATGCCGCAACAGGCACCCCAGCCCCTTCGGCCCCATGCACCGGAAGGCGCCGAGGGGGCGCCAAGAGGCTGGCGAGCGGCGGTGTTCGCTCGCGGCTCGGGACCGCGGACCCGCTAGTCAAACCTGTCACCAAATTCGGCGGCAGCGGGGCCGCCCCAGGATCCGAAGCTGCCCATCGCAGCGACCGGGCGGGTTCACGAGCACAGCGCCTTCCGAGAGCTGAGCCGACGAGGCGCGGACACGCGCCTCCCCGATGCTGGCCGGGGCCTTTTGTCGGCCCAGCGCACGAGGCAAACGAATCACGTCGAATCCGACGAAAATTGTCGAGACCTTTCCTCGAGGATCGGGCGCAGAGCCCAGCAAGCCGCGTTCCGGTGGACGTGGCCGTGCGACCGCAGCTCCGCCAAACGCAGAGACTGCGAAGGTCCCACTACGCCAGCTCGTTGGGATGATGCGAGACCCCCCGCCCCCACAGAAACAGCGCCACGAGCGCGGCACACGACGTCGGCAGGAAACGCGCCGACGCCCACGGCAGGGATGCAACACGACCTGCAGAGGGCGAGCAACGCGCCCTTGCCCCCCACTAATTTGGACAGCGCGCATCGAAAACTCAGGCCGCGAGCAACAGGACGATGGAAGCTGGAACGGATGGCTCGGTCGAGCGCAAAAACCTTTTCGGGCCCTTTTCAGCGGGGCCGCCGTCTAGGCGAACCCCATTTGGGGTCGCCCGCACACGCGTCAGCCAGATCTCGCCACGCTCTGCGACGGACCACGGACGCCTGCACATCCAGAAAAGGAAGAGAAAGAGAACAACAACAACAACAACAACAACAACAACAACAACAACAACAACAACAACAACAACAACAACAACAACAACAACAACAACAACAACAACAACAACAACAACAACAACAACAACAACAACAACAACAACAACAACAAAAACTCGGGATCCGACTATAGCGCCGTTCGCCTACGGAGGGCAGCCGCCCCCCCCGCAGCTCCGTCAGCGAACGAGTTACGTTTGCGAGGGAACTTCTGGCGCTCCGACAGATCTGGCCATTCGAGCTCTCGATGCGAGCCAGTCCACTCCAGGGTGGCCAGTCCAGGGCCTCTGCTCTCAAAGACCGTCTGGATCCTGAGCCAGAGATCCCAGCCTCGCCCCCCCCACCCGAGCCCGCCCGCCCTCCCAGCCCGAAATGACAGGATAATGGTCCGTGACGCAGTGAACGGGACCAGCGGTGCCTTCCAGGACCATACAAAACGCTAGCAACTCAGACCCCAGGGGCAGTCTCACGCCTGCCCACCAAGAGGCTGGAGACACCCCCCACCGTTCCCCACTCCCCGGAGCCCGGGGCCCGCCGAACGACGAGCGCAGCGGTGCCACAACGCGAAAATTCCATGCCAGGGCTGTCACCGAAAACAACGAGGGAGTCGCGCCCCGGAAGGACTGGGAGCTCCAGAAGCGAGAACCGACCCAAGGCAACTCGGCCTTGCCTCGGCGGGACCCTCAAAAACATAATGGAAGCGGCAGGGGGGCCCCTCGGATCCACGGACCAGGGCGAGACTCCGCGCCAGCTACAGACCGCGGAATCAGCCAGCCCGACTTTTCATAATCTCCACGTTTCGAATTGCTTGGGGAGCCCCAAATCTTGCGGAGAGCGGTCTCTGGAGCGCCATTGCACCGAGGGCCATGACGCCCAGCTTCAGAACCACATGGACACGAACGCGCGCGCGGCCACTATACATCAGCCACGACACGCAAACACTGACCAGCGGCATCGTGAGCTCCATCGCGCAGAAAACGATTGCACTCGCGTCTCGCCCAATACGCGTCGGCGCCACGCAGGAGATCCTCGCCATCCAGGCGCAATGAAGCTCGGGCCCAGCTCTGGACCTCGCAACCCTGAATGGCATCACAAAGCATCTCTTCCCAATCCATCACGCGACCATCGGAGCCCGGCAGGGAAGGGGCGGGGGTCGCCCAGTCGCACGTCTGCAACGGCGCACTGCGCCTCCACTTGCCCGCAGCGCAAGGGGGGGGGGGGGGGGGGGGGGGCGTCCAGCATTCAGCAGCGCAGCAGCAACTGCCGCGATAAGGCCCTTGACCAAACGCCACCTCTCAATCGCCCCCCCCCCCCCCCCCCCCCCCAGACAACGGACTGGAAGCTCGCCCCCGCGCTCTTTGAATTCGACTGTGAAAATCGGGCCGCCGCTGTCACGCTGTCGAAAATTTGGACTTCTCTTGGCGCCTGACCTCCATGGCCAGGCCCCTCTCGCCGAACAACATGGACAGAGCCGCGGCGAGACACCGCCCCCCGAGAACCGCCGCTCCCGAATTCGCCGCTGCTCGCCGAAGCCTGCGAAGTTGACGCGGGGCAAGACCGAGGGCTCGATGGCCCAAGGCTGCTTGAGGAAGCGTTCCAATCGACCGCGAACTCCTCTGAGCAAATGTTATCGACGTTCCGTGTCTCGGGAACAGACGCACCCTGCCAGAGGGCCCGGTGGCCGCAGACACCCCAGCATTAGATCTGCGCACAGCGCGCTTCCATCCAGATGCTACGTCCACGCCGAGATCGACAGCTTCAAGGCCACATCGAATAGGAACATAAGAACTACGAAGTTCGCCTGCCACTCCACGGCCTGGCTTGAAAGGCGCGCCGAGGACCGCAATCTTGTCGGGCGCTACCAGCCGCAACGCGCCCAATCCTTCCTTGACCGACTCGCATGCCGATACCACTTCAGACCCCGCCTTCTGCTTGGCGCCCACTGCTCGCATCACGGCGCCATCGATGAAGGCACGAAATGCAACGGAATGAACCCGCGCCCGAGCCCGCTGCAGCAACGGCTGCAGAAATAAATTTGCATATCGCACCTCGCGAACGGACCCGACCACCAAGCACCTCGCGGCATGCATCGCATCAGACATGCCCATGGGGCTGCGCAAGAACCGAGGAGCGGCGCCTACCAGAGCCACCAAACAAACAGCAGTTGCAGGACACCCTGCATCCATCGCAGCTCTGCACAAGAGCACCCAAGAAACTGAATCGCAGAACTTCTCGAAGTCCAACAACACCGCGGCCACCGAAACTCCAAGTAGGCGCACGCATCCATCCACCAAGGGTCTGATAAGAGCCGCCCAAAGAAGGCGGCTGCCAGCAATGGCGGTGCCCCAGTGGGCTGACAACCCTTCAGCCCACTTCGAGGTAACTGAAGATCGCAACCGCGCGCCTGGCAAAGGCCCCGCAACTCTTTCGCCCCCTTTTGGATCGGGCAGGAACGCGCACGCGACGGCGGGCAACTGCGCCGGCAAAACCTCCGCGACGCCCACCGCACCCCCCCCCCCCCTAAGAATTCCCAGAAACCTGCGCGGCCACCTGGAGGCAACCGAAGTAAATCCCTCGGCGCCGTGGAATCGATACCGCTAGGCTCGAGCGGACTGCTTTGGAAGTAGCACATCACGATGATCAGCCGACAACAAAAGCAACACCTCCTCAAAAGACCGCTGGCGCAGAACATCGGGAGGTTGATCCGCCATTTCAGTCCACGATGATGTCCACGTAGCTGTTTTGGCCACGAGGTTCTCTTTCGAATCAGCAATGACGCGCCCACCGTGGGAGGATTCCGCGCACGGGGGCTTCTGACCCTTGACCCAGGCACGAAGCGCATCTGGATGCGCAGCCCACTGCTCCTTGGCCCACTTGATAAGACCGTGCCTGTTTTTGGCGAGGCACCGCGCCTGGGCTGCTCGAGGGCAGAAGCGATAGCCTTCTGACGTGGCTAGCGCCAATGACCCCAGCCTCTGTATCTGGGGCTTTCCTTGGCTGCTGCGTCTCTCGCATCCAGCATCCCAGCCAGGCGGCTGAGACTGCAGGGCAGCGCCACTGTCGGGGCCGTGCCCCCGCGGCGTGCCCAGAGCGCGACCAGGGGGCAAGGAGACCGTGCTCCGCGCACCCTGGTCGGGGTAGGGGGCGCTGGAGCACGTGCTCCGACGCCCAACCTACCCACCACCTACTCCATAGGTGGCCGCGGTTTCGGACCCCGGGACCCCCAGGACCGAACCAAAAAGGGGACCACGACACGACGCGACACGACGGGGGGACGGAACGAACGACGCGACACGAACAACACGACACGGACGAACGACACGACAGAGACGAGCCGCCGGTCCCGCCCCAGGGCGGCGAGCGCTGGAGGGAACCAGCACCGCCCTGGGGGAGGCCACGGGACCTGGCGACCCCCCCGGGGGAAGGAAACCGCACTTTGGCGGCGCCCCC